GTAATATAGATAATTTGTACTTACTTGGTTGACTGTTCTGATATTCTTCAAATCAAAGTTTAGTGATGATGACTGGTCTGGACTTTTGTTTCTTTGTCATTTCGGTGATTCATAGACTGGCTCATTCTCCTCTTCCTCATTAGCTGCATCATCAGCCTCATCGTCACTAATGTTGGCAACCTTTTCGATCTCGTTCAACTCTTTTCCAGTGTAGTAGCTCTTAATGTTCTCAAAGTTGCTATCAACATTGTTATCATCATAGTAGCTTACTGTTGGTGTTCGAAGCTGGGTTGAGAATGCCATTTCGTCCAGTTTGTACATGAAGCATACCTTTTTATGCAGATAGTTGTATTAGTTTTTTCAAAGAGTATCATTTATATATAAAATATATGAGTAACAAGGTTGAAATGGCCAAGGGAATGGAGACTTACTGTAAGGAAGTGAAGATCTGAACTGACGTAGAGCTTTGGTGATTGCAATCCTTCATTCATGTGGTTGAAGAAGTATTTGCATCAGTTGTAGCTGGTGAAATGTTTCAGTTCATCAGTCTTCAAGTACTCAAGCATGTTGAGTTCAGCCATAGGGGCTGAAGTTGGGCACAGCAAGCCTCCGGTGACCAGCAGAAAGAACAATTGTAACCATCTCTTACTGTTTGTAGTTGTAGGAAGATCTTTTTCTACCTGACTTAGCTTTACCCTTGGAGTGGATGATCCATCTACTTCCAGTAGGGTTTCTATTGCATAATCTGCTGCGTCTTCCCAAGAAATCGTGGGAGGTACAACTTCCCTTTTCCCCATTGGCAGACTATATACCCTATGGAAGTCGATTGGTGATATCTTCATGCGTGTCCCGTCAGGTAGCTTGAACGATTGTTTGATTGGATTGTATTTGTTCATTACGAACAGTGCAAAATGGTTGTTTATCTTTGTCTGCTTGATTGATATTAAGCCTGCTAGGCCTAATATCTCAAGTTTCTGTTTCTGCTCATCTTTTATAGTCCTCGCAATTGCAGATATTCTTGTTGGGCTGCACCTTGTGCGAAAAGTTTTTCTTTGGTTTACCATAGTGTACCTGAATGTAGAAATTAGGAATAGTCTGTTAGCGTGCTTTTTACCATATGGTACCATAATGGTTTCCTACCATACCAAATCAAACCATATATTTATCTCATTTTACCATAATGTAATTACATCAAACCATGTCTTATAACATATTACTATATGGTAACGAAGTAAAACACAGTAGGACTTATGGTTTTTTGCTATTTTACAACATGCATTCATAGCTTACCACACATTACCATATGGTAACGAAGCAAAACCCAGCAGGACTTATGGTTTTTTGCTATTTTACAACATGCAATCATAATTTACCACACATTACCATATGGTAACAAACTAAAACACAGCAGGACTTATGGTTTTTTGCTTATTTACAACATGAAACCATAATTTACCATACATTACCATATGGTAATAAACTAAAACACAGAAGGACTTACGGTTTTTTTGCTATTTTACAACATGCAATCATAATTTACCACACATTACCATATAGTAATGAAGCAAAACACAGTAGGACTTATGGTTTTTTGCTATTTTACAACATGCATTCATAGCTTACCACACATTACCATATGGTAACGAAGCAAAACACAGCAGGACTTATGGTTTTTTGCTATTTTACAACATGCAATCATAATTTACCACACATTACCATATGGTAACAAACTATAACACAGCAGGACTTATGGTTTTTTGTTACCACACATTTCCATATGGTAACGAAGCAAAACACAGCAGGACTTATGGTTTTTTGTTATTTTAGAACATGCAATCTTAATTTACCACACATTACCATATGGTAATGAAGCAAAACACAACAGATTCTACATCAGTTCAGCAACGCATGGAGAGTGACTGCAATACTGTTCTATTGTTCTGTGGATGGATTTCGAAGAAAGAAGTGAGGTTATACCTTGATATTTTGTGCGAAAACAATTTTTGAGTCTCGTTGAAGTTGGAAACTCTTCGTTTTCCGACGAAGAAGCGAGAACAGTGTATCGTTGAATGATTCTTCGAAAACCTTTGCGAAAATCGTTCGATTTGAAGTTTTTTCTGGAAGTTTTTGCTGCGATTTTGGTGAGAGAATTGAGAATCGGGAGGAAGAATGGAGAATTAGAGAGCAGAGAGGGAAGTGGAACTGTCGCTTGAAAGGTGAGAGGAAGAAGGAGAGAAGGCGGGACGGTTGTCGCTGTCACGTTTGCAATTCAAATTGTCAGAGACGTGATTACGTTTTTGCCCCCGCGTGTATTTAATTGGCATGATCTGACGGCTGGGAGGATGGCGCGATGGGCGGTCGGATCAACGGTTACTGACCATTACTGATAGGGTGGTTACTGATAGGATCCGGACCCGGGGTCGTCTTTTGGAGAGGAATGAAGAAAGAGAGGTAATAGATTTTTTTACAGAATAGGAAAGAAATATTAAATGGTGGTGAGTGGTGACTCGTGACACGTAAGAGAAGAAGAATAAAAGGAAGTCCCTTTAAGGGATCAGTCAAAATGTCAAACATAGGGATGGCAATGGGTCGGGTTGGGTCGGGTTTTGCCAAACCCAAACCCAAACCCATGGGTTTATCTTTGAAAAAAACCCGGGGTAAAACCCACTGGGTTTGAAAAACTCAAACCCAACCCAACCCGTTGGGTATCCGCGGGTTCATGGGTACCCACGGATTTTGTCGTAAAAAATTTACAATTACAAGTTCTTATCAAAATTAAAGTCAAATATCAATCTCTCAATACAAATTATCCCTATATAAAACACCATTCTAGAAAATTCAAGCAAATCACAAATTAACTATACAAATTGTTCAACACCAATCTAGAAAACTCAAGAAAATTGAAGCAAATCACAAATTATCCATAAATAACATGTTTAATTGAAAGCTTTTTCCTTTCAATTAAGTTTCTTTACTCTCCACTCCATAACATCAACTTCATTCTACACAATTAAAAAGAAAAAATTAGACATGTCTCCACAAACATAAATAAGATTAGTTGTTTAGAATATTAAATATACCGGAAAAATTAATTATATGAGTGGGCGGGTACCCACGGGTCGGGTTTACCTAAACCCAAACCCAAACCAACCCGGTGAATAGTGAACGGGTTTAAACCCAAACCCGGCCCAAAACCCGTCAACACGGATTTTACCCGCGTTGACCGGGTTGGGTCGGGTGGGTACCCGTGGGTTCGGGTTTTGTTGCCATCCCTAGTCAAACAAAAGAAAGAATAAAAAGGGGGGAGAATTTGGCGGTTTCTTAAATTTTATCGGGGGAATGGTTCAAATTTTCAGGTGGGGTGGGGACTGAAAATATTCCTTGAAAATTCAAAACCAACAAAAATTTTCAGTTGAGGCATAAAAATATTTAAGAAAACCGACTCAATAACACCAGATTTTGGGTCGGTTATTTGACCGACACTAATATCCGACGTGAAACAGAATTTTAGTGTCGGTTAAATGAACAGACACAACACAACCGACTCTAAACGTCTTTTTTCTTGTAGTGGGACCACCTATATTAAAAGATGCCCCTTCTGTCTCTACTTCTTTGAGCCACCATTCCTCTTGCTCAATGTCTTTGATGAGAAAGCAACCTGGAGGAATGTTGGGATCGCTTACATCTATGCACTCCATTTGGGTGTTGAAGCGCTTGGATGCTAGCTCTACAACGCTCTTGGTCTTCGGTGGTGGTGAAGGATGAAGTGCCCTCTCACTCATAGCCATGAATATTTGAAATTCGAGATCCAAGAGGCTCTTTGGTTCCACAATTGGAGTTGGATGAGTTTTTCGATTCCCTCTACTTGCTTCATACTTTCCTTAACACGGCCCACAAAGACCCAATGTCACCTCAGTCTAAGTTTACATGATTGGTTTGCTCCCATAGTTCCTCTCAATAGGTTTAACCTATCATGCATATACTAGAGACGTGCTGCGATCAGAACGCATGCGACTTCTCTAGCATTTTTTCAGGAAGGCATTCCTATAGCAGGGGTTTGTTCTCCCCGTCCACTAAGGAACTCTAAGATTATTCATCTACCCTTAATCTGCCAGTTGGCCATACCTAGTCTAACCCTAAAATTCCCACCTATTGTTAACTCAGTTGTTGGCTAGTAGGGAAGAGTTGGGCGACTTACCCAAGCCTAATTAAGCATAAATGAAGCATATATTTAATAAAACAAACATATCGATTCATAAACCCTAACACAATTACATCTATATTCAAAACCTAAATCTAGGGTTTGGGGGATTTAACCCCTACTACCTTGGAGAACTACCACATCAAGGAGGGAATAAGATACATGGAAGAAAATAGAAGAAGGCTTGATGTTGGGAGAGCTCCCTTCCTTCTTGGCTCCTCCTTCTCTTCTTCTCGTTCCTTTAGTTTCTCTCTCTAACCTAACTCTAGAATAAAAAATTTGCCAAAATCCAATCTACTCAAGGGAAAGGTCTTTATCTTTATTTGATTTGATTTTATCAATTTTTAGAATTCGAAGCGATTGTACATACCATACTCATCCCACAATTTGATATGAATTACTCGTGATTCACTCGGTTTCTGGGACATAATCATTATGTAGGAGAGGTGGCCGAGTGGTTCAAGGCGTAGCATTGGAACTGCTATGTAGGCTTTTGTTTACCGAGGGTTCGAATCCCTCTCTTTCCGCATCTTCATCTTCGCCTAATTTATCAATTTTACTGACCGAAATGAACCTAATTCCATAACAACGGATACCTTTATTCCAACAGTTATAGCTTCCCTTCATAGGGATTCCCTATTCCTAATTTCTGTGGTATAGAAAATACTGGAAAGAATGGACAAAGAATGAAAATATCCCCAGGATTTTCTGATCTATGAATGGGCGAAAAATTCCCCGACCCCTTACCTTCGGTATCTTCTTTAGGTTCGAACCCTTGTTATTTTAGTTAGGTTTAGGTTTAAGTCTGACGAGAATAATATTCTACAACTAACAATTCATTTATTTTCAAGCCGGCCCATTTACTATCTATTATTTGATTGACCATTCCTTTATATTGGAATGGGTGAAGAGTCAAGTGTTTTGGCAATTCGTCCCCTGCGGAGGAATCAAGATCATTTTGAATCATAGTTCTAGATTTTTGTTCATCCCTCGTTGTAATAATATCTCGGGGTTTGCAGCGATAACTTGGTATATCTACTATACGACCATTAACTAAAATATGCCTATGGTTAACTAATTGGCGAGCTCGAGGAATGGTTGCCGCCATACCCAATCGAAAAAGGATGTTATCCAAACGCATTTCAAGTAATTGTAGTAAAACCTGACCTGTTGACCCTTTAGCTTTTGCGGCGATACGAACGTATTTAAGTAATTGCCGTTCTGTAAGACCATAATGAAAACGCAATTTTTGTTTCTCTTCTAAACGAATACGATATTGAGATTTTTTACCGGAGCGCGGCCGATTTCTAAGATCGCTCCCTGCTCTAGGTCTTTTACTAGTTAGTCCTGGTAAAGCCCCCAGACGGCGTATTTTTTTGAAACGAGGCCCTCGGTAACGTGACATAAAGACTCCTTATTTTAGTGAAATTTCATAAACCTAAATTAAAACTGAACTAAAAGAGAAATATGCTAAAATACGATAAATCAGTCAAAATCTACTAAAGTGAAGTGTTGTATTATACTATACAGAATAATGAAACAGAATAATCAAGACGGATTGCCTGAATATCCGGCCTTATATTATATACACAAAGAATCGCTATAGAAAAAAGAAAAAGAACAAAGTCTGTTTCTTGTTCTGGATTTTTTCTACAGAGCTTTAACTACGTTAACTTTTTATTCCTACTAGAATTCATAATTGACAGTTCCTATCACATCACCGAATACTTGTTAGCCCTTCTATTGTAAACTTATAAATAATCAATAAAAAGTCAAAAGGGTAAGAAGCCTTTTCACCATTCTTTGATTTCAAAAAGACACTATCAATCATGTAAAAATGAAAAACCAAACAAATAGAAAAAGCCGGCTATCGGAGTCGAACCGATGACCATCGCATTACAAATGCGATGCTCTAACCTCTGAGCTAAGCGGGCTCACATAAGAGCAATTGTATATGCGGAGAAATAGGAATTTCCTAAATTCCGAGAATCTTCGCTATTAACTTTTCATTCTTTTGTTATTCATAATTAATATGAATATAGAAAAAAAAGAAAAGAATCGACCGTTCGAGTATTTAAAATTTTACGAAAAAAAATGAGCGGAAGGGGCACTTAGTTTATAATAAATGTGGCATATATACATATATATTGAATTGCAGATACAGAAATGCTAGAATCATTTGTAAGTAGATCAAATATAGGTTTCCGATAGAAATGAAATGAAAGAGGGTATCCAAGAAAAAAAAATAAGAGAAAAGGCTTTTCTAGGACTCGCTATCTAATGATTTCAAGAGTTCTAGTACCTAGATCTAAATGAAAGAAAAAAATGACACAATATATTAAAGAATAAGATTATGATTTGAATCTTAAAAAGGGGGGATATGGCGAAATTGGTAGACGCTACGGACTTAATTGGATTGAGCCTTAGTATGGAAACTTACTAAGTGATACCTTTCAAATTCAGAGAAACCCTGGAATTAACAAAGGGGCAATCCTGAGCCAAATCCTGTTTTCCGAAAAAAAATTCCTAAAGACAGAATAAAACAGGATAGGTGCAGAGACTCGATGGAAGCTGTTCTAACAAATGGAGGTGACCGCCTTGCGTTAGGGGTACTGAAATACTATCTCAAATGATTAATGATAACCCGAATCTCTATTTCTTTTTTTCGATTTTCTATTTCTAGAGAAAAAAAGAGTTTTGGATCGATTCCAAATTGAAGAAAGAATCGAATATTAATTGATCAAATAATTTACTCCAAAGTCTGATAGATAACGAATTAATCGGACGAGAATAAAGATAGAGTCCTATTCTACATGTCAGTATTGACAACAAGGAAATTTATAGTAAGAGGAAAATCCGTCGACTTTAGAAATCGTGAGGGTTCAAGTCCCTCTATCCCCAAAAAAGGCCTGTTCGACTCCCGAATTATTTATATCCTATTCTCTCTTTTCGTTAACGGTTTAAAATTCCTTATCTTTCTCATTCATTGAATTCTTTTACAAAAGTATTTGGGGTTAATTTTTTTTATTTTCACTCGTTAAGTCTTGTAATAGATATGATATACATAGAAATGAACAGCTTTTATTTGAGCAAAACTCGGGACCCCCCGGAAATTGTAATGATTAACAATCAAAATCATTATTCGGACTGAAACTTAAAAAGTTGTTTTTTTAAGGATATAAAACGTTTCTAACATTGGAAAAAACTTTGAAATGTTTTTTTGACCTTTTTTTTAATTGACATAGACCCAATCCATTTAGTAAAGTGAGGAAGTCGGCGGGTCGGAAATGGCCGGGATAGCTCAGCTGGTAGAGCAGAGGACTGAAAATCCTCGTGTCACCAGTTCAAATCTGGTTCCTGGCACATGATATGATAAATTTATGTATGACTATCTATTCGAAACTTAATTAAATTACTATATTGAATGATATACATATTCAATAACATACAATACATATTCATTAATAGTATAAATTCTGATACTCACTAGGTGTCTGAAAATATAGCTTTTTTTTATTAAATGAATAACGAATTTATGTTATAAAGTATATAAAAAAAAGTCGATTCTGGTTCCTCTTCTTTTTTATTTGTTCATAATGTGCCTCCGCTCGGTCAAAACGAAGGTTAATACTTCATTTTGGAAGGTTCAATTAGTTGGCTCAAAGACATAAAGGTCTAGTTTATGGGAATTGACGGATGAGAATATCCAAGATTCATTTTGGATACAGCACAAATAGAATCCGATCCTCTTTCCCTTCGTTCTATTTTCTTTCATATTCTATTTCTGGATTCCTTCCTATGCGATGTAACTTTATATAGCTCCTATGCGATGCAACTTCTTTATATCGAGTTCGTGAAAAAAAAAATCTTCTGATGAGAGGCGCTCTCTCCTCTCTCCTCGAATGCTTGCGACGACTGGGTGGCTCGGTTCTGGCGCTTCTTTCTTCCCTCCTTCTGCTCAGCTTGAGGAATCAAAATGGCGTCCGTACTTGCTCTGCTAGAGTACTGCTCGTGAAATCTGTCCATGGGCATGGAACAGCTCGCAACGTGCATCGAAGATGCTATAGGAATCCCTGGATGTTTGATAGCCTCTATTGTGAGGGGAAGGGCCCTGCTCGTAGAAATTGCAAACGAAAGCGAACATGGTGTGAGGAGCTCAGCTCTCCCCACGTTAGGGTTCCTCTTAACCCTAGCCCTGTGAAGAAAGGCAGGTATGCCCGGCGTAGTGCATGGCAGTTTATTCTCCCTTCATCGGTAGACCTGGTAGGCGACGATTCGCTGTTATCCACGGTTGCATGGAGGTTTCAGCTCCCCTCTTTGGTAGACCTGGTAGGCGACGAGTCGCTGTTATCTGTGGTCGGGGATGCTATTATGGATAGCAGCAGTCCTGGGGAATACATGGACGTTCAGTTCGGGGAGAATGGTCGGGACTTTGCTGCGGAGGCGGCGGAAGTTCGGTTGCTGCGTATTCTCCGATCCCACGTTTCTTCGGCGGAGCCAGCCAATGAGTCGGCCGACGAGCCCCTCGGCGGATCCCCCCAATCCCGGGATTTTGGGATTTTCCGTGATTGGGTGATCCGTTCAGGATTGGATCCCCCTAATATCTCGACGATAATAGACTGGTGCAGGTATAGTATTCCCCAACGGGATTATCTTCACCGAGTCCCATTATTTGTTATCAGTCCGAGTCCTAATCTATTTCCAAATCCTACACCTACCGTGACTCTTCGGAGCGGTTTCAAGTTGGAATTGGAGCCTCTATTTATATTCTCCTCACCGAAACCTATGAGCATAACCATCTCTCAATTTTGGTTTCGTGGAAGACCTGCTACCTCGGCATATACCGCTCTCTTGCCCTCGTTGAGAACCGGCTCAGGTACCTGGTTTTCCCCCTATGATATTTCGTTTATTATACCCCGTCTCGCTTTGACGAGGGTTCATTCCTCTGTGCGAGTCCCATGCCCCGATCCTGGGGTGATTGCGGCGCCAGAGTGTATGACAATGGAAGATAATCCAACTCATCTTTCTTATTGCCAGGAGCTGTGCACAATGGCCCACGTTTCGGACGATCAGGTGGTACAATTCTCCCTTGAGGAGGTGCAATCGACCCGTTTCCGAGCTTCTCGTACTCTATTGGGTCGGCTATTCACCAATGATCGCGTCACGACCATGGAGCTGCGCGAAGGTCTGCTAGATGCCTGGAAAATTCGTGGCCAGCTCAAGGTGCTGAAAACTAAGCAGGGACTCTTTAAGATCGTCCTGCCGAACGAGGAAGCCAAGCAATGGGCTCTCTCCAGAAACCCGTGGATCATCAAAGATCGGCTGCTTATCCTTCGTCAATGGTCCCCTGTCATCTCGAAAGGAGTATTTGAGGAGATGGCGAAAGCTCCTTTTCGTGTTCAGCTCTGGGGAGTTTAGGAGGACCTTTGCACCAAACTGTTTGGGCAAAAATTAATAGCCGCTACCATGGGCAAGGTTCTGGACTCAGGAATCTTTGCATGCAAGGATTCTGGGGAGCGTTTTATCAAAGTATTATTGACTTCTCGAAGTCTCTCCGATCGCAGTTAATGGCGGTCTGTGAAGATGTGGATAGCTTTTGGGTGAGCCTCAAGTACGAATTTTTGTGGTCGGGTTGGCCATGCTCGCCGCGACTGCAACCACGATCCACCGATCAGAAAAGAGCGGTTCGGACCGCATATGATTACTAAGCAAGTGGGCCGCAAGATCTATGAGGATGATGGGAGTGATCCCATGCTGGGGGGAGCCAGACGCTCTGTATAGATTAATCGCCAGGGTCATGGTAAAACGATGGTGGATCATGGAGCGGCGGCCGGGAAATCGATGAAGGCCGAGCCCTCGTTTGCTGCTGCGGGGGAAGCTCACTCGGAGAGGCCGAACTTGAACAAAGGGAAGGGTAAGGAGAGATCTCCGATCCGGCGTGGCAGCCCGGGGAGGGTCGTCCTCCACCGCCATCCCAAAATTTGCCTCGGCAAGAACCGGCCGAAGCTGACGGGTACTAGGGAGGCGAGCCCGATTGATGATCCATCCACCCTAACGATGCGGGACATCCAGGACACCTCGCCTTCAAGACTGGGAACGTAGGCTGACCATTGTGCTGATCAATTCGAGAGAATCCAGGCTGACACGCGCCGTTGTCGAATTATCTTGGACAATGATTCTGATGATGATATGGTTGATGCGCCTGGAGAACAGGTTGGTGATGAAGAGCGGTCTGCTGCTACTATTCCTCAAGTGATGGCTGTGGACGATGCGCCGGGTAAGGGGAAGCCTCGCATAGGGAAGAGCGGCCCTCAGTGAGGCTGCTGGGCATATGGAAGAGCGGCCCTCGCTGGACATTACTGATGATGGTACCACGACGGGAGTTGGGGAAGGGACTCCAAAGAA